CCTTGCAAACCGCCTTCTGCCCCTCTCAGAAGACACCCTCCCAGAATCCCAGAATGGCTTCCGCCCCTCCAGAGGAACCGTGGACATGATCTTCACTGCACGACAGCTCCAAGAAAAATGCAGGGAACAAAACCAACCTCTGTACATGGCATTCATCGACCTTGCAAAGGCATTCGACACAGTGAATCGCAGCGCTCTCTGGAACATCCTCCACAAAATCGGGTGCCCAAGCAAATTTGTGAACATCCTGCGGCTCCTCCATGATGACATGATGGCAACAGTCTTGGACAGCAATGGCTCCCAAAGTGACCCATTTAAGGTGGAATCAGGTGTCAAACAGGGATGTGTTATTGCCCCAACTTTATTCTCCATCTTCATTGCTATGATACTTCACCTTGTTGATGGGAAGCTTCCCACCGGAGTGGAAATCATCTATCGGACAGATGGCAAGCGATTCAACCTCAGCAGACTGAAAGCCAAAACCAAGGTCACAACAACATCTGTTATAGAACTCCAGTATGCTGATGACAACGTTGTCTGTGCGCATTCAGAAGAAGATCTACAAGCCACTATAAACACCTTTGCAGAAGCATACGAGAAGCTCGGCTTGTCATTGAACATTGAAAAAACCAAGGTGCTTTTCCAGCAGTCACCAGCCAACCCCTCTCCAATGCCAGTGATACAGCTTAATGGTGTAACATTAGAAAATGTGGATCATTTCCGCTACCTTGGCAGCCACCTCTCCACCAAAGTCAACATCGATGCCAAAATACAACACCGCCTGAGCTCTGCAAGCGCAGCATTTTTCCGAATGAAGCAGAGAGTGTTTGAGGACCGGGACATCCGTAGGGATACCAAGGTGCTTGTTTATAAAGCTATTGTCCTCCCAACCCTGCTCTATGCCTGTGAGACGTGGACTGTCTACAGACGTCACATGCAACTCCTGGAACGATTCCATCAGCGCTGCCTCCGGAAAATCCTGCAAATCTCTTGGGAAGACAAGCGGACAAACGTCAGCGTGCTGGAAGAAGCAAAGACCACCAGCATTGAAGCAATGGTCCTCCGCCATCAACTCCGCTGGACCGGCCATGTTGTCCGGATGCCCGACCACCGTCTCCCAAAGCAGTTGCTCTACTCCGAACTCAAGAACGGAAAACGGAATGTTGGAGGACAGGAAAAGAGATTTAAAGATGGGCTCAAAGCCAACCTTAAAAACTCTGGCATAGACACTGAGAACTGGGAAGCCCTGGCCCTTGACCGCTCCAGCTGGAGGTCAGCTGTGACCAGCAGTGCTGCAGAATTTGAGGAGGCACGAGTGGAGGGTGAAAAAGAGAAACGTGCCAAGAGGAAGGCGCGTCAAGCCAACCCCGGCCGAGACCGCCTTCCACCTGGAAACCAATGCCCTCACTGCGGAAGAAGATGCAGAGCAAGAATAGGGCTCCACAGCCACATACGGACCCACAAGAATATTGGAAGACAATCATCCTCGGAAAGCGAGGGATCGCCTAAGTAAGTAATACAGTGCCATAGTAAAATTATGTCCTATATGACATAATCATAGTTTGTTTTTAGAACTTAAAACAAATGGGCATGGGTGGTTGAATCTATGGATATGGTGGGCCAGCAGTACAGACAAGCACTTGTTGGACCTCCTGTCTCTTAAGGCAAATGGAATCAATGAAATATACACTGGACTGACAGTATACCACCTCTTTACCCCCACTTTCACAGGACATTTCTTGGGTCACCAGGCTTTGTAGTTGAGAACCATTATTGCTTGACAGTTAACAAATTGGTCAATATTAGGCTGGAAGCCATGGATTGAGTTGGGAAAACCAAATAAGGCTGTTAATAAATGGGTGTGTGTGTGTGTGGGGGGGGGGCTCTCATAAAAGGATTGCCATACGTCAAAGCACATTTGATGGCAATTAACAACACAATCTAGACCTATGGTTCTCAACCTTTGAGTCCCCAGGTGTTTTGGCCTTCAACTCCCAGAAATTCCAGCCAGTTTACCAGCTGTTAGGATTTATGTGAGTTGAAGGTCAAAACATCTGGGGACCCACAGGTTGAGAACCACTGATCCAGACACTACAGATCCCTGTAATATAAAAGTTGTCATCCTTATTTAACAAGAGCTACTATTTTCCTGGAATTGCAGCAAGGTAATGGTGATGTTACCAAGCACACATCTCGTGGTCTTAACATTGAGAGTGGGATACAATTTAGCCTGTCTTCTTTTCCCAAACAGCACTAAGGAACCATTTAAACATGTGAATAGGATTAGCTTTCCTGAAGACTTTACTTGCTTCTCTCCATGGGCAAAGAGCTTTTTCTTAACCAGTAAATCACTTTTGTTCCTTCTTTCACAGTTTCAAATGTGATTTGGAATGGAAAAGGTACAACAGGAAGCTGATACAGCCTGACTTCATTTTCTCACATACACTCTCCATCCAACTGCCACCGCTCTGCTGCCTCGGGAGAGTCTGCAGTAAAATGTGGAGTCCAAGCCTGCCATCTTCTGGGGGGAAACAACAAAGCCCAGGCAGGTCTGACAAAAATGGCTTTTGTCTCCTCCGTTCATTCCCGCCTCCCACCATCTGGTTCCTCTATTCTGTCTTAGAATATTTACGAGTAAGATACCATCAAAATGCACCAATAGTCTGGGCATAGATTTGTAGCTCTGCTCCAGCACTCACCTATCTTTTAAAAAAAACAAATAAATAAAATTGCTGACATGTAAATAGAGGCTTGGGGCAGATTCATCTAAGCACCTAGCAAATATATGACAGATGTCTTTGCCCAAAATCACAGGGCAGAGGGTAAGATCAGTAATATGGAAAGGGCCTATAATAACCAATTCATATGTCAGAGCCGATGATTGATGGGTCTCAAGTTTGAATTTTTATCTTGATTTTAACCTAAAGTGGGTACAACTAGAGAAGATAGTGATGAGAACAACATTTAAAAGCCTTCTGGATTAGAGCAAACATCTGTTTTATGGAATATCCTGCTTGCCATTGTAGCCAACAGCTGTTGACCTACATCCAGCAGTTGGTACCTCAGGCCCTTTCTCTAGGGTTCCCCAAGTAGTCAAGCCATGATCTGGCTGGGCCATTTCCTAGTTTCTGCTGAGGTTTTTTTCCCTTTTTCAAAATGGCTCTCCTAATGATTAGTTACTGGCAGCATACACTTTACACTGAAATATGCTGGCATTTTGGTCCCCATTTCTCTGTGTTTGGCATCAGCAACCACTGGAGCTCAGCCTACTAGTGGTCAGCTGACATCAAATTCAGCTTTTATGTTGAAATGCCCCAATCTCAACATGTGTGTTTCCATACTGTAGGTCACAGAGCGGCTGTGGAGATCAAATGGTAAAAACAGTCCCAGCATACTTCCAGAAAGATCCAGCCACTTGTCCTATAGCAACTGTCATTAACACTGGGGGGAATGCAAATCTAAGCTTGCACACACTGCATCTACTTTCATCCCTTGCATTATTTCTATTTGATACTCATGGAGCCTTACCACTTTCTGGGAGAAGTTCTTTGGGAACATAAAAAATGGCTTTTTAGTTAGGCAATCCATGAATCCATCATGCTCAGTATTGTCTGCAGCAGTTTGAGGAACTGGCAGCAGCTAGGCTGGGGGGAACTGTGCAGCCTTATAGCAATTGGTACACTACAACTCCTGGCTACCTTAGCTTGGATAGAACAATTGGGAGTTGCAGATCATGAGCATCTAGAAGACTGCAAAATCTCCCTTTGGTTTAGGTGGAACATACTAGATGAGATGCTAGTAAGATACAGTATTTTATGTGAGATAATGTAAGAATAATCCCGTGAGTTTGTGAGATGAGATAGGAGTGGAATTTTGGAGGTGGGGAAGAAAAGGTAAAATGAATGCATCCAAGATCATTTTAGTTTAGTTGGGACAAATCGTTTGAATTTCTAAATCTGTTAGGTAGTCAGCAACTATTTTATATTATGCTACAGTCGGCCTTCCATATCCACACATTCTGCATCCACCAAGCACTGGGAAAAATCCAAAAAGTGAATGTTGTTTTTCCTCTAATATTAGGGACACCACTTTACTACACCATTGTATATTGTATATTATGGGACTTGAGCATCCATAGATTTTGGTATCTACATGGGGTCTTGGAACCACTCTCCAGTGGATACTGAGGGCCCACTGTATATATTATAGTATATATCAATAGAAACTTGCCTCTCTTACACATAAGAGGTTTATGTACTTATGGAAAGGACAAATCGCTTTTGCAGAGCTTCCTTAAAAACTAGGTCAGTGTGCTTGCCCAAGGGCGCAGTGCATGGAGAAGTAAAAAAAAAAAAAAGCAAATCAAGCCTACTTCACAATTTAGTTTATTTATTAGGAGAAAGGAGAAACAAGCAAAGTTCAGATATAGAATCAAGCATGGAATCAACTCAACTGAAACATGGCATTAGCAAAACAATAATGTAGCAGGAAATGGAGGATAATTGATCAAACCAGGATGATTTGATAAAGATAGATTCACCAGAGGGAAGACCCTGAGATTCATATATAGAAGAATTTGAAATTAACCCTTTGCTAGACAACTATCATCCCCATTCCTCCCAAGAAAAAGGTATATCTCTGGAAAATAGGAATTACCAAAGGGTGAAATTCAAGATGACCAGTCAGTGTTTGGGATTGCTGGACATTGTTGATCCCTGCTAGGTTAGATGTGAAGCATGTATGCCTTTTCATATGTTGGACTGCAGTTCCCATCAGCCTTAGCTAGAACAGACGGCAGCAGAGAATAATTGGAGCGGCAGTACACACTGTCCTGAGAGCCACATTTCCCATCTCTGCACTATGTAACACCGTAAATGAGTGTTTGGGAAGATGAAGTAAAATCAGCAGTCAGAAGGACAATGAAAAGAGAGCCACATCTATATGTACCATAAATATCCCAAGGAGGAAAAGAAGGAAAAACTTCAACCCAGAATAAGCTATTTGAAAGTATTAAAAGAAACTGCTAAATTTAATTTCCAGCCAAACAAATAATACAGAGTGCTCCTACTTCGTAGCAGCCTGAAGGGGAAAATAATTTATTCAGAAAAGAAAACCATGAAAAGTAGGGTTATTTTTAAAAAACAAAACTGAAACACTTAATATTTCATAAGCAATGCAGTGACATTGTTGCTACAGGAACAGGTTGCTATTAGCAACCTTTTTGATACATCCAAACCTCTCGCAGAACCTTCCACTTCTTGTTAAATCCCGTACCAAGTGACAAAACAGTCCCTTTTCCATTAGAAGCTGGGAACGAATGCTTCCAAAATTCATTTCCACCCTTTAACTTAAAACTAGGTTCACAGAAGGCAATTTTGTGGTGAGCTCTGACAAAACACACAGCATCACAATTGCTCTATTTTAAAAGATCTGCCTCAGTGAAGAGGAAAACTCTCATATATCGTGCTGCTGAGCCCAACACCTTTCAGAAGTGTGCTGAGGCTGGAAGCCAACCTATTCACTGCATTCATGCTTTTGGTTTCCTAATTTCAGAGCAGGGAGATAAAAATGCTGCTTCATTGGTTGCTGCTCTTTCCTTTTACAGGTCTTTGGATTAGGCTGGGCTATAAACCTCTCCAGGAATACAGAAAAGGTGAGGGCTTGCTTGACATTAGGCATTTGACCAGGAACAAGTTAAATATTTTGCTTCTGAAGGAAATAAAAGTCCCACTTAAAACTTGGGGGACAAAAACAACAAAAGTGTTTATAACATATTGGGAAGACAGGAAAGTTTCTTTCAGCATGTAAATAGCTTCTGCAGCTCTTTAGCCAAAGGATTATTTATTTGCTATTGTAGAAAGCTGGTCCCGAATCCTTCCCAGGCCATCTAGCATAGTATCCAATGTTTGTTTGTTCAACTCTACTGTTAAAGTAGAAGCTGAGAAGTCATTCCCACACAGGGCAGCATTTTCCTTAATCTGAAAGAGAAAAGGGAGATTTCAAATATCCCAAAGAAACCTCGTTTTACTCTCATCCTATCTCAAATCTTCTATGAGTTTAGCATTCTTTATCTAGAGCCCCCGGTGGTGCAGTGGGTTAAACCCTTGTGCCAGCAGGACTGAAGATTGACAGGTCATTGGTTTGAATCTGGAGAAAGCGCATATGAGCTCCTTCTGTCAGCTCCAGCACCCCACGCGGGGACATGAGAAAAGCCTCCTACATGGATGGTAAAACATCAAAACATCTGCCGTCTCCTGGGCAAAGTCCTTGCAGATGACCAATTGTCTCACACCAGAAGCAACCTGCAGTTTCTCAAGTTGCTCCTGACACACACAAAAAATCCCTTATCTGGAATTCCTAAATCTGAAATACTATGAAATCTGAAATTGTACACATGGGAAGCAGAGAAAATGATACTTTTGCTTTTGAGTGGTTCAAGTTACATAAACTTTGCTTCATACACAAAATAATTAAAAATATTGTATAAAATTATATCCAGGCTATTGTATATAAAGTGTATATGAAAGATAGATGAATTTTGTGTTTAGGCCTGGGTCTCATCGTCAAAACATCTTATTATGTACATATATACAAATATAAGAACTCCAACACCTCAAAAAATCTAAAATCCTTCCTGTCACAAACATTTCAGATAATGCATATTCAGCCTATACTAGGTAAAAAAAAAACACAAAACAAAACATAGGATCACATGACTTCTCTTTCAGGGGTGGAATCAACTTATCATGAGAGTCGGTCATCTTAAAAATGACTTTCCAATTTGTGGCAAGAGGAAGGGGAGTAGGTCAATATATAGGTTTTCATCCTGTACCTTCCATCCGTGGCAGATGTAGTGGGAAAAATGTAGAATGAAGTAGAGCAGAAGTGTATTCTGCTCTACTGAAGACCTTTGAAAACCAGGAGGCTTGGAGAGAATGGCCTTGAGATTCAACAAAGGAATTACCAAGCCCAGTGCATTTTCTGACACAGAAAAGGAACAAAATGATTGTCTGAGAATACTTGACTAACTAGCAATACCTTCAGCTGTAGCAGGCAGGTAGGGACAGCCATTCTGCTGATACTGTCTGAGGAGGTCTTGATGTCAACTCTCCAATCCATATCCACAAGGCGGGGCAAAGAAACTGGAAATAAGATGGAAAGCCCATGAAATTAACAAACCATGCTCTTTCAAATGAATCCATCTCCACTTCCGAAGGAGAAATTAAAGTCTGGTTTGCCCCATTACAACAACAAGAAAGAAATTCTTCTTCCTTGAGCAATAATGAGAGATAGGCCTTAAACCTGGAAATTCACCATTGAAGGGTCGCAGAAGAACACCATTGCCGAGAACAAAGCAACTCTTTCTTCAAGTAATGGCATCACCGAAAAACCAGTTTTCTTTTTCTTTTCTTTTTTTTACTATTTATTAAACAGTGAATAAGAAACCAAAATGGCAACCAAAATTAGTTTAACTCTAATGTCTTGGCATTGCTTCCTAGTACTCCAACTCCAGAGGATTTTAAAAAGCCCCATCACAAGGTCATCTGTGCAGTACAAATTGGATGCACAAATCCTTTTTAAGCCTCTCTTCCTACCATAGGAGTAAAAAAAAAATCAGTTTTAAAAAAGTTCTTTCTAGCAATATCAAAGTCAACATCCAGTAGCAGCTCTGCACTTGAACAAAATAATATATCAACAAATCAAAGCAATAAATCCCAGGAGGAAGCACTATAAATGCACTATCAGAGAACCTTTTTAAAATAAGAGAACACAATGTAACTTATTATTCTTTTTAAAAACATTCTGCCCTTCATCCAGCCTAGTTGAACTGATTTGTAACCTAGTTTACATGTTAACATTTTTCTAGCATCCTATCTATCACCTCTTCCTATTCTATTGCCATTTTTTTTATCTGAGAGAGATAAAGATGTCAGGATCTGAAAACCAGCCAATGGAAAGACCATGGCTGCGATTCTGGAGCCCCCTAAGAGAGGGAAGCCGATGTAGCATACGTGCCTGGTATATCAACCTTCTGTGCCTCATCTGTTTGTTGGAGCTCTAGGGCTTTACTTCCACTTGATGGATGACTCCCAGAGATTGGTCTGACCTTCTTTGTACCAGACCAGAACTAATGAATTCAAGTTGCAAAAAGTAGCAATTTCTGGTAATGCTGAGGAAGCAAAAGTCCTAGATACGTCTCCAGGTTGGGATCCTAAGTATACTTGCTAGAAATTAAGCCCCATTAAGCTCAGTGGAACTTGCTTCCAAACATATATGCAGAAACAGAATCAAACATCGACACACAAATGTTTGTCCTAGAATTAACAAAATAGAAGCTTGTGTCAACTTACAATCTAATGTATTTTTATGGCATAAGCTTTCAAAGACTGGGACACAGAAGCTTACAACATAATAAATGGGGCAATGGCTAGATAATTACTCAAGGTCTGGGATCACTACAAACTCCTCACTCAGCCCTCAATATCTGTGGGGGATTGCTTCCAGGACCTCCTTCGGATACCAAAATGTATGGATGATCAAATCCCTTATTTAAAAATGGTGCTGATGTAAACATGGTGACTTCTGCATCTTTGGGAAGGCCATTGCACAGGGTTTGCATGAGCTGCTGGGTTATTTTAATTTTTTTAAAAATCTTTGGTTGGTTAATTTACGTGGATATATTATATACCCAAAATATATTAAATATAATTAACAAGCTAGGACATATTTAAGATATTAAGTGTTTAAAACTATGTGCCTCAGCATTTCATGAATATGAGTGAGGCCTAAAGGCTTTGCTGAATAGCCAAGGTGTCAACCAGAGAACATTACACAATCAGGATGCCCCAGCTAAGTTCATTTCCCAGGTCCCTTCACAATGCATTGACTTCATTGGCAGGACACAGAGGGGGCGGGGGGGGGGGGCAGCAGCAGGCATATATATGGAGAGGCAGTCCCTCACATATTGAGCTCCCCAAAAAATTAAGGGGCCTACATCATCTTAATACACCAGATCCCATCTGATTGTGTAATATTAGCAGGGTCAGGTTAGGTTAGTACTTAAACAGGAGACCATCAATTAATACCAGATGCTGTAGACCCTATTTCAGAGGAAGGAACTGGCAAAATCATCTTTGAGTACTCCTTGGCTAAGAAAACCAATGGCAGGCAAATTGAAAGTGTATGTATACACATGTACAAGCAATTTAGGGATTTAAATGTCATCACCAGCACTTGGAATTCAGACTGGAAACATATTGGTCTTGATGCTACTCTTCCATGCTGTTGCCCACCCCTCTGCTGCAGAGTGATTTTCTTCTGGCTCTCTTTATACAGGCAAAAATTATGTCAGTATTTCATCAATGTTATTGAATTGTTGCCAACAACAATTGAGTCCCCTTCTGGGTTGAGAAGGGTGGTAATCAAATACTGCAAATAAATAAATAAATAAACAAACAAACAAACAATATCATCTTATTAATAATTATTCACTTTATTTTATAACCACCTTTTTACCCATGTAGGAACTCTGAAGGTGATTTTACTTTTTTAGCTATTCCATTTTCTGGTGTTTTTGCTTTTGCAACTCATTGAGAAAACCATGTTCCTAGATGACACTAGAACAGTAACAGATTCCATGCCACTTACAACAATTTGCTTTCCTCCCTCTGTCAGTATTGTACAAACAAGACCTAATACAGCCAAAGCGCAAGTAGCAAGAGTTTATGCCATGTGGTATTTGATTAGAAGACAACCACATACTGGCAGAAGATGCCACTTTATTTTCTCTGCCAGAATTAGACAACAGTGCTTGCATCCAATATTTCGCACACACCATATGTGCCAGCGGGAAGAGCCAAAACCACCGCAGGAAAGCAGATCAAAATATTATTATCTCTGACAACCAACTCTGAGACTTAGTACTAGATAACCACTCATAAAACATCTACAGTATAATACGAGTCCAAGATCATTTTCCCCTTCCAAAACACAGAACTAAACCATATGGTGTGTTATATCTCTGAGTCCCAACTTTTTTAATATTCCAAAAGAAAGGGGCATGAGCCTGATCCAGATCACAACAATTCCACTTGAAAAACTGATAAATTAGTATTAAAGGAGAAAAAGATTAATGTGGGAAGATCCCCGCTCCCACCAATATCTGCAGGGCTTACGTTACAAAAATTTCCTGAAATTGCAAATAGAACTGAGTATGATAAAATTACTTAAATTACTATTCCAAGCATACCATAAAGTTGCCCTGGGATATCCAGAAATTTCTAGAAAGATATCCTCTAGAAATTCGCTAGGTGCTCCAGGGGGGCTCTATAGTAACTTTCAGGGGAAGTATATCAAAGACCTAGTAAATTTGTAAGGAGACCATTTTTCATGGGTAAGTGAAATCTATGGGTTCAGAGATTACCTATTATGATATAATATAAGGTAATGGATTATATGTCTTATAGAAAGATAATATTTATTTATTTATTTATTTGCTGCATTTGTTGACCGCTGCTCTCAGCCCTAGGGCGACTCGCGGCGGTGTACAACATATAAAAGGCAATTTACAAAGGCAATAACAAAAACAACATATCCACAATACAACAGTTATATAGTTACACTAAATAATCCGCTCCGTCTCATAATAGAATCGTAACCAATCTTAGTCCATATTCCGTTCCAGTCGTCTTTACCAAACTATTGTAGCACTTAATTAAATGCCTGCTCAAATAGCCATGTCTTTAGGCTTTTACGGAAAGACATAAGGGAAGGCGCCTGTCTGATGTCTACAGGGAGAGTGTTCCACAGTCGGGGGGCCACCACCTGATAAAGACTGATTGATATCTTAATGTTAAATATGCTAATCTTAGGAAGAAGGAAAATATTTGTGGTTGACAAATAATTAAATAGGGGATCCACTATCATACAGAGGCACTTATTTCACATGCTAGTAAGGTAAGGCTCAAGATCCTGCAAGGCAGACTCAGCAATACATGGAGAGAGAGTTGCCAGCTGTACAAGCTGCATTAAGAAAAGGCAGAGGAACGAGAGACTAAATTGGCAATATCTGCTGGATAATGGAGAAAGGCAGAGAATTTAAGAAAAACTTCTATTTCTATTTTATTGACTATTCTAAATCCTTTGACTGTGTGGATCATAATAAATTGTGGCAAGTTCTTGGTGGTATGGGGATAGCAAGCCACCTTGTCTGTCTCCTGAAGAATATGTATAACGAACAAGTAGCAACAGTAAGAATAGACCATGAAATAAAAGACTGGTTCAGGACTGGGAAAGGAGTACGGAAGCTGTATACTGTCACCCAACTTATTCAACTTGCGCCGTGCGGGGCTTGACATCATGCGCCTTGTGGGGCTTGACAAATCCAAGGCTGGAGTTAAAATTACTGGAAGAACCATTAACAACCTTAGATATGCAGATGATACCACTTTGATGGCTGAAAGCGAGGAGGAGTTGCTGAAGAGCCTTCTAATCAAAGTGAAAGAAGGAAGTGCAAAAGCTAGATTGCAGTTAAACATAAAAAACCAAGATTGTGGCAACAAGACTGATTGATAACTGGCAAATAGAGGGGGAAAATGTGGAGGCAGTGACTGACTTTGTATTTTTAGGCGCAAAGATTACTGTAGACACAGACTGCAGCCAGGAAATCAGAAGACATTTAGTTCTTGAGAGGAGAGCAATGACCAATTTCAATAAAATAATTAAGAGTAGAGACATCACACTGGCAACGAAAATCCGCATAGTTAAAGCAATGGTATTCCCTATAGCAGCCTATAGATGTGAGAGCTGGACCATAGAAAAGGCTGAGCGAAGGAAGATAGACACTTTTGAACTGTGATGCTGTAGGAAAATTCTGAGAGTTCCTTGGACTGCAAGAAGATCAAAGCAGTCCATCCTCCAGGAAATAAAGCCCAACTTCTCACTGGAGGGAGAGATATAAGAGGCAAAGATGAAGTACTTTGGCCACATAATGAGAAGACAGGAAAGCTTGGAGAAGACAATGATGCTGGGGGAAATGGAAGGAAAAAGGAAGAGAGGCAGACCAAGGACAAGATGGATAGTGGGGGGGGGGTGGCCTCAGCCGACAGGGTGCTCTAGCGTGGGCTGGTCCATGAAATCACGAAGAGTCAGGAGCAACTGAGCAAATAAACAACAACCCCCTTAGTAATAACAGCATTTATGGTGCATTTTGAAATCGACACTACTTCACACACAGAGTTGCAGTAATCATTGTATCAGTAAAGTCAATCAACTACATGGCAGATGAACAGCATTATCTCAATAATACAAAGTAGTCTCACTGTGGACTTTGAAACAGGGTAGAATTTGAAATAGGATCCTCCACATTCACACTCAGAACTTCAGCTGAAATGCTACACTAACTTTTAATAAATGGTGAAGATACACAACAAAACAACAAACAAAACTGCCAAAATGGTTCTTGCACACAAATGGAAACAAAACCATTCCTTTCTGACAAAACATTTTTGGCACTATAGGCTTATCACTGATAAAGTTTCTAGACTTCCCATTTAATGTACATGATCTGTATCGGTAGGTAAATATAAATTTAGATATGGGAATAAACTGTAAAAGTCCCATGCGTGTTATTTTGTGGGGAAAGGGTGTATCAAATCTTCGTTTTCATTTAATGGGTGTACAATATTGAGAGATTATAACCATCAGACAGAGAATTTTAGATTAGATAAAATAGATTGGACGTAACTAATGTTTTCTGAAGCTTTGAATGTAATAGCAATGTTTTCTTTTATTCTAGAAAAAGTATTTTAAGTTTATATTTGTTTGTTAGTTTGCTCGTACATTTAAATGTCGTTTTTGTATTAATTTGTTTAAATAAAAATAGTATGTAAAAAGAAAAAGAAAGACATCTTGTGCTAATGTGACACCAATATTGTTTTTGCACATAATTAGACACCATCATCTAAGGCTGTGATTTGGATGTCAGAGGCAGGAAATCCTCTCTCCCACCTCCATATGGAAGAGTGATATGCTTACCATATATTCACATTACTGGAATATAATTAAATATACACACATAGCAAGAAGTCACTGGTAAAACAAGCAGAAGTCAACATTTCACACGATCAACAGGGGAAGGAAGTGATTTCTGTGTGGGCCATTTCCCTCATATAAACCACTGAGTGAATTAGTAAGGGATGCTGAAAAAGTATGGAAAAGTTTATCAGATGCCATGGTAACCAATTTACAAAATGCAAGTTATTCTAATATATGTCCTCTTACTTTGACTACTTTGGGCTTCGTTTCTCCAGGCAGAGCTAAAAAGGGAAGTAAAAACACACATTATCATAATGTATCCTGAAGCATAGAATAGCAGCAGAAACTAGAAGGGCATTAAGCAAATCCTTTTTACATAGTATATTATGTTGCAGGCATGAAGCCAGAAAAATCTAATCCAAAGAGAATACTCAAAGTTATCATCTCATGCTAGTTATTGCATGTCTACAGTTAGATGGGGGTTATAAACAATTCTGAAATATTAATAAGATTAACAATTCTGAAAGCATTAAAAACGAACTGTGCCTTTGTAAACTTCACCAATATAAAGCTAGATCCTGCTTTGTGTGGACTACATCTCCCAGGCTTCCTCAGTTGGTAGTCCTGACCCACATCATGCCTAGGGGTATTCTAGGAAGTCCACTCGTATGCTGCAGCTCCTCTGGGAAATTGCCCATATCACAACTACCAACACAAACCTGACACTTACATATTTTCCAGGATTATCTTGGTCAAGAGGTTTTTAAGGTTCTGGTGAAATCCTTCAGGAAAAAGAGAAAGAATTTCTTCAGGAGACATCAGACCATGGTACACTGTGTATCTTGTAAGGTTGTGCAAGGAATGAATTAACTGTAAGGACCAACAAAGATGAAACACTATTATTTTCCAACAGGAGCTCAAAAATGTTCTAGCCTTTCACCACCCTTTCCAGGTAAAGCCACATGCACGTCGGCGTTTATGAGTCATGAATGTCTGCCCAGCTTCCCATTTGTCCCCTGTTCTCTGACCCTGAAGAACCCGTGGGTATCTAGATAGAAGTATATCCCACTGGTTTCAATAAGACTTATTTATAGGTAACCACGTGTTACAATTCAAACCTAAAACAATCACCAGCTTCTTACCTGGTTTGCTTCATTTGGTACAACGGAGAGGTTGGAGCAGACACTCTCAACCAGTTTGTCTGAGCCACTGGCTGAATGAGAAAAACATTCTTGGCACAACTGCCGAACAACATCCTTTGAAGGAGCCTAGCAAAGGGAAACAAACTGTAATCCTTCAAAAGTCATAGGCTATAATCATAGGCATTGTCTTAAACATACTTTCAAACAAATTAGTGGAAAATAGATTTATGAAGTTGCCATTGGCCATGAAAGTTAAACATATCTCTTATCTATAGATGCATTCTCTTGTTTTATATTGGATATTGGCAAGGTTAAAGATGTGATTCACACATAACACATGATTTAATCTGGAACCCTATTTAAGATTATCTTATTAAGTCTCACTGAATAGAATGGGGCATATCTAAGTGATCATAACTAAACCTGCACTACAAAGTATGTAAATGTATGTTTTCATTCATTTACTGAACTATCGAAGTTAATTTATTACTATATTGTACATAATATAGAGCTCAAATACCCTAAGGGCACTAGACCCTATCTGATCTGAAAGTAAGCGGGATAAACTCTGGTTAGTACTAGTCTGAAGACTATAAATGAAAACCAGGTGCTGTAGGGTATATTTCAGAGGAAGGAATTGGCAAAACTATCTTTGGCTACATCTACACTGCTCTGTATCCCAGGATCCCATCCCAAATTATCTGCTTTGAACTGGATTTTATGAGTCTTCACTGCCAAATAATCTGGAATAATCAGATAATCTGGGATCAGATCATGGAATATAGTTAAGTGTAGATCTAGCCTGAGTATATTCTTTGCCAAACCGGCAAAACTATCTCTGGCCATTTCTATTCTATCATATAAAATCCAGATTATCTGCTTTGAACTGGATTATATGCCAGTGTAGACTGATATAATCCAGTTCAAGTCGGATAATGGGGATCATCTGATATCTGGATTATACGGCAGTGTAGATCCAGCCTCTGTTTATTTTTTGCCTAACTTTTCCATAATTACTATTGAGAAAACACAATGTAACCACACCTGGAAAATATCTCCACTTACATTATTCAAGTGGAAATCTAAACTCTAATACTTTCTCTACATAAATTTAAGGAAACCATGTGAAACCACACAATTTTGCTAACTGACAACTTTTCTTGAGGAACAAATAATCTTGTGTTACCTACTGGATTTTAATCCAATCTCATATTTGGGCTTTGATTTCTGCCTTGCTTTTTAAATTATTTGAAGCCACTTATTCGAAGGCACAAAATATGCATTTAAGAATGGTGCCCATGTTTGCTTGTTTGTTTGGTTTCCCCCCCCCCCCTTTTTCCATTCTTTACCCCTTTTGTAGCATGACTTCTGGATTACAAATGTGTTATACAAATTATCCCATACACACACACATTATACACACACACACACACACACACACACACATATTTTATACACACACACACACACACACATATGTGGGTACATCTCTGCAAAATAAATGCAGTTTGACTCCACTTTAACTGCCTTGGCTCAATGCTATGGAACTGTGGGAGGTATAGTTTTGGCAGGGGAAGTAAAAAACCTTGTAAAACTACAACTCCCAGGATCCCATAGCATTGAACCATGGCAGTTAAAGTGGTGTCAGGCTGCATTAATTCTACAGTGTAGGTGCACTATAAGTCACCTCTTTGGTTAAAATAATTCAAACTCACATCTTTTGCCAAAACTCCTGTCCGGCCTAACTCCAAGTGGCCATTGGGAAGATAAATATTTTTTCTTTAAAAACCCCATAGCATAGCACCTCGCAATTTAGAAAGGTCAGATTCTAGAAATGCTCCTTAAGAGCTTTTCAGTGCCATGGTTCAAAAGTCCTCTCCTCTGTTTAAAACAGAGCTGGGGGGCTCTGCAACAAGCAGCCTCATGCAAAACACACTCCTTGACTTACTTTTAGCAAGATCTGAAGCGCTGCAAACATCTCTGGCTCCATGGCAGCCATGGTTCCCCTTTCTCACGTGACCAGCTGGCGGCCACGAGCAGGAACTACAGCTTTAGTCACGCGCTGAACTGCAGAGCATGCTGGGAAATGTAGTTTTGCTGAGGTCTGCTGTAGGAGGAAGGCTTTTGCTCAATGATTTCAATGTCTATGCTTTGCAGTTTGAATTATAGCATAGTTTACATACACATAGGAATCCATTTTTTACAAAGCATAAGCAGCTGTCGCTTATGCTTTGTAAAAAATATATTCCTAATACTGTAATAGCCTATGTACCTCCTGTACTATATTATTGTATTATTATTATTATTATTATTATTATTATTATTATTATTATTAATAATAATAATGTGTTGCCGAAGGCTTTCATGGCTGGAATCACTGGGTTCTTGTAGGTTTTTCGGGCTATATGGGCATGTTCTAGAAGCACTCTCTCCTGACATTTCACCTCAGAGGATGCTTGCCATAGATGCAGGGAGCAATGGATTCAAATAGCAGGAAAAGTGATTCTACCTAAACATTAAGAAGAACCTCCTGATGGTAAGATCTGATCGACAGTGGAAATATGCAGCCTTAGAGTATGCTGGTGTCATCTGCTGGAAGTGGAAGTGCTTTGATTTTGTATTTTTGCATGGCGGGGAGTTGGACTGGATGGCCCTTGTGGTAGCGTTCAACTTTATGAGTCTATAAGGCAAAATTACTATCCCACACAATAGTCTGCCATATACAGTACTAGAGTTCCAAAGCAGAGAAATCAATGTGGAGAGACTAACAGGCAACTGAAATTATTTTGCTCTCAGTCTTAAAATCTAGAATACTCAAGATAAATTTTCCCTTAGGGTTCCCCGCTCCCTTGTAGGCATTTCTCTTTTACTTCTGCCTTATTTATCACCCTCACAAACTAACATATGAAATATTTCAAAGGCTTTCTTCTCTGCGTGTAGCTTTCAAACTGCTGGCAACCCAGGTTTGATTTGCATTTCCCTCTTGAAACAAATCACATAATGCAACCTGGCAAACATGCAAATATTGCTCATGCTGCATTGGAAATGCAGGATTTATGTAAGCTCCCAATTTCAGAATTGTTTTACATTTCAGAATCTAAATCCCTTTGAAAAGTAAATGAAAGTTTTTTTCTTTAGTTATTTCTTTTTAATACAGAGTTGAAAACGGGATTCCTCTGGGAGCTTTTTGAAAGCATCATTTTGCCACCTGTGTACTCTTGAAATTAATAAAGATTGATCAGCTGTGAGGAAATACTATTTTATGAATTTCTTTAAAACTTTAAAGACACTTTAAGTGTAGAGATTGTGTAGATTTTATATATATATACACACACACACACACACACCTGTCTCCCTTTACATTGCATGCATGCGTGTGTCTATACATTTGCACACACACACTCAATGTAAGGATAGCAGGGTTTATTTCTATACAACCTCTATGGGCAGCATTTCTCCTGCAGTTGAGCTAAGACTGAGTTGGTCTTGGCCTTGGCCTTTTCAAATCAAAAGCGTCGAGGCTGAGTGAAGTTTACCATAGCTTGAGAATCTACCATATTGATTTGCTCAGTTTGAATATGTAGATTATTTCCTGACTTTACCTTGCTCTGTGTCCAAGAATAATGTGATACTATAAGGCATGTTCATGCAGAGTAAGGTTGTAGATATGAATACCCACCTATGTGACAAGTAGGCAGGCATTACATATACACCTGTATTGATTAACAGAGGGAAATTCAGCAAGTGTTGCTTGTTACCAGTTGCTTCTTCTACACAACCATTAAAACCAAAGAACTCCCTTCCTAAGGAGTTAAAGATGCCCCCCACCTCCCTCCCTGCCTTCAAGAAATAGCTGAAGACAGTACCTTTGTTTGCTGGCCTACGAGGAGTAGTAGTATTAGATCGTAATAGTACTACCATTATACTTCTGATTAATAGCTACCATCCGTATCCTTGCCCTGTTCGCCCCACCAGCTCAACAGACATCTTGAGCAATGATTAATCTATTTGCCCCAAGGAACTGGAAAACTGATGCTTCTGTTTGATGTCTGATGTTTTGACTTATGTTTGATATAACAGGTTGCATTTTTTATTTTATTTTAATTGTTAAGGCATAGCTTGTTTTTATATGTTGGGTTGTCAATTTTTGTTATTATGGTTATAGTGTTGTTGTGTTTGGGCATTGAATGGTTTGCCTTTTTATGTTTGGAATCTGCCCTGAATCCCTTTGGGGAAATAGGGTGTAATATAAATAAAATTTTTATTATTTTTATTATTTATTATTGCCTCTAGTCAGCCCTATAAATTGTATTTTATAATCTGCCATCAAAGTTCAAATTATCATAGGAGAAATGTAACAGAGGCCCAGATATTTTTCCTTTCCAAAAAACAAAAACAAAAAACCTAAAACAGTTCATTAGGCTCTGAAGTATATTTGAATAAAGATGCATATGTCAATCAATAGGGCTGTTTGGGACTTGGGGTACATAATAAGAGCCTGGAGAAATGGCTTCCTATTCACATATTTCAAATGAATTTTGAGTTAATTGAGTAGTGCAAAAGTGTATTGTATAAGATCATCCCTACAAGCATCTGCATAATTAGCTGATTACTAGCTTTAAATCAGGAGTAGGCAAAGTGCAGCCTTTGAGTCATAGGGCCAAATTTGTGGCTACTAATATCCTCAGGGGTACAGTTTTCCCCTATGCTATCAATGGACTTAGGAACCCCGAGACGTGGTGAAAATGTTCCCACATACCCTAGAAGGTGATTTGGGGCGGGGCGGGGCGGGGCGGGGGGGGGCAAAATAACCCCAATGATTTTCTGACAAGGAATGTGATGGTGGTGTGGCTTTTAAGGTCTCCTGACTGTGGCCCTTGCCCTGTGACAGTTTCCCAGCCTTGCTTTATATCGGTTACTAGGAATTTGTGGACATCTAAGTGTTTTTGAACTCTCATCAGCCGTAGCCATTAGAGCAGATGGTGAGACACAATGGGAGTCACAGTTCAAAATCTGGATTGCTACGTGTTGCCCATCCCTGCCCTGTTGATTGCACTTTTGGCTGAAACAGTAGAACGTATGGTGGCAACACTGGTCCTGGGGCAGTTGTTCCATTCAATCTGTGGTTGATGTAGAGGCGGCCCTAGGTAATTTTCAACGGTAAGCAAACAGTATTTTGGCGCCCCCCCCCCCAACCAATCACTGATATTTTCTGTTCGTTGTGGGAGTTCTGTGTGCCATATTTGGTTCAATTCCATCATTGGTGGAGTTCAGAATGCTCTTTGATTGTAGGTGAACTATACATCCCAGTAACTACAACTCGCATATGTCAAGGTCTATTTTCCCTCAAGAGCGCCCCTGGGCAAAATCAACTATACTGCAAATGCTTACTTTGTGTAATGGGTTGAGCCGCCCCTGGGTTGATGTCCACAACTACATGTTTTTATAATGATTGATCATATTTTTCCTATAACTTTTGAAGTGCATCAAAGGGGTTCTTTTTGCTTCAATACATGGCTTCTTCAACTAGAATAGTTGCTCCTACCAGACAACTGATCTTGCAGTGTACTGCAAATACTCTTTGCAATGTACTGTATCATAAAGTCACCCAGTTTTACTTATTAGATAAGTCACAAACATTTCCAAATTGAACAGCCATACAGATGTGGCTAGTCAACAACATAGCTCAAATACCTATTGATTTAAAGTTTTTTGAAGCCAGGAGAGCAAGACTTTTACATTTAGCATCTTGATATGATGGGCTTGTTAGTGTCATTTGGATGTATTGATCAGGGTTCTATAATTTGCAGTGATGCTTCCTTATTGATCGCAGTAGCTGATGGAAATTTCTTTCTCAAGCACTTGATCTCTCTCCACTTTACACTTTCTCTTTTCTTTTTTCCTTGGGTTCTGTTCTTTTTGCAGAGGTTAGCTCATATTCGGTTCATGTGAAGTTCATTACTTATCTAATCATTTAGTACAATATTAGAGAACTTCCAGCCTGCTGACCAAATCTGTCTCATGGGACCTTGTGATGATGTATAGCAAGTTGTATGTTTTTTTTTTTCTAGACAAGACAGAATTATAAAAGGCTGGAGAAATATGGAACAATTAAAAGAGCAAATACAGAGAATGAATCACTTAGAGCAGAGGTGGGCAAATTTGGCACTTTGGGGAGCAGTTTTCTACCCTTTGGGACAGATTGTGGAATATTTTCCCCCGTCTGGCTCTTTTTGGGGTGCCAGAAATTGGAGTGGGGGGAGAGAGAAATCAAAAGCAAGCCAGTGTGGTTTAATGGTTTGAGTGTTAGACTAAGGGAGACCTGGGTTAAAATCTCTGCTTAGCTATGGGAAACTTCTTCTGAATGAATATTGTCAAAAAGTCCCGCCATAACAGGTTCATCTTAGGGTCACCATCAGTCAGAAATTACTTAAAGTCACACAACAACAACACTGTGAAAAAGTTCTTATTGATTTGATGATTGCAGCAGCTATGGCATTTTTAAAGGAGAACAAGAAGACTCTTTAAATTTTGAGTGTGATCTCTGATAAAATGATAGGGAATATTTAATGGACTCTTTTGTCCATCAAACATACATTTCTTGCCTTTACATGAGCAAGCATGGAAACATTTAGGACAGAAGCACCAATTAATGGTCAGATTGTTATTCCAGCTTAGTTGCAGATGCAAATTCTTGCAAGAGGGAAGAAGGAGGCCCCTTCCACATCGCTGAATAAAATCCCTCTTTTTCTGCTTTGAACTGGAATATATGGCGGGGTGGTCTCAAATAATTCAGTCCAATGCAGATATTGTGGGATTTTCTCCCTTTATATTCTGGGTTATATGGCTGTGTGGAAGGGCCCTGAGCTTGATTCCTGTGAAGTGTTATTGACCTCTGGGACTTCCCCAGACAAATACCAGAACTGCATGGCAAGCTGCTCTTCTTATGCATATATGACAATGTATACATATAATTCTAACCAAACAAAGTAATGGCATATAGAAATTATTGGAAGTACTTTTTTGTCAGTTTGCTGTGCCACCACTGAGCTATGTCAGCAGAATTCCTTGGAAATACAAAACCTTTTGTTCATATTATTTTGTTCCTTAAAAATATTGCACATTGCTCCAACAGTTGTATCAACACGTAGCACATGTCTAGCTCAAACTATTGAGAAACCTAGAGGTAACCAGTCACAAGCTCCCAAGGCTGCTGCAACCCAGCAAATGATTCACAGGCTCTCTGTCTGTAGCACCAGCAACACTTTTATGACCCTCAAAATGGGCATTTTTCAATTCAGTCGCAGCTGGTGGTTTCCATATGAGTGGAGTGGTAAATCCATTCCAGGGATGGACTTTAAAAGGTACTGAGCTATTTGCTGCTACTGCTTACTAGACAGCTCAAACAAGGTCCCTCCTAAAGGGTTTTAACATATTTATTGCACATCTTAATCTTGTGTTCCTTTAGCATACATGGGACAGTGTCAGATAGATGGCTCCTAATGCTTAACTCATCAAATAAGACAGTGCAGCTCTCCAGAACATACTTCCTATAGAGAGAGAGAAAAAGTGCTTCCCAGACAATAGGGAGAGATTCTTCTCCATATTTACTGAGAACTTAACTTCATAGTTGTCACACGGAGGAGCTGTCTTCTGCCCCCTCTGTGATCACCGGGGTTTTCTGTTGTTGGTTTCAAATGTTGTGGCCTGGTGATTTCAGTGAGACACCTGAATTAGTTTGCTTCATCTGACATATACATGACTCTTCTCCAACTTGACTGACAAGACCCAGGAGAAATAAATCTATCTACCACACCATCTATACCAGCAGAAGATGATGTTGCTTTGAAAGAAACTATACTACACTATTTCCTAAAGAAGACTTATTTGTATTTTCAGGCATTTGAGAAGTACTGCCCAGACAATATTATCCACAGCTTGAGCAAGGTGCCTGAATGGTGATTAAACAACTTCAAGCTTTCTCAGGAGAAACAGGTTATCTGGGCCCATTTCTGTCTGGTTTCAGTCCCAGGTATCCCATTGAAACAGTATTAGCCACTGTGAATGATGATCTACTCAGGATAAAAGATGGAGAAATTCTACCCTGTCAATTTCCTGGATTCTCTCAATATATTTTGATCACTGTTCTGGATCTGCCAAGCAGAGATGTGATGCGGTATGCTAAAGTTGTTCTGCTCCTATTTGCATGACTTGTTCCAGACTAGATTTCTGTTCTGCTGCATGGTCATGTAGATATGGGGTACCACACAATTCCATCTTGTCCCCAATGTTGCTCAACATGAGTAAGCTTTGTCCCTTGTTCCCTCCTCAGTTTCCTTGAGGGCTCCAAGAGGGAAGAAGGAGGTACAGAACATTTCAGAACCTGATCCAACTGGATTGTCTTCTCAGATTTTAAAGTAAGTCAGATGACTTCATCTGCAGTTTAAGAAGGAACCCGCTGAGATGTTAATATTCAGAAATTATTTCACTGTGACTTGATTAATCTGTATTTATTTTAATTGATCACCACTTCAAGCCATGGCTGATATCAAATGAGAGACTCCCTCCTGGGCACACAGAAGACTGGGCGACTTGGAAGGCGCTGAACAGACTGCGCTCTGGCACCATGAGATGCAGAGCCAATCTTAAGAAATGGAGGCACAAAGTGGAGTCCATGACACGTGAGTGTGGAGAAGAGCAAACCACAGACCACCTATTACAATGCAGTCTGAGCCCTGCTACATGCAGAAAGGAGGACCTTTTCACAGCAACACTAGAGGCACTCCAAGCGGCCAGTTACTGGTCAAAGCACATTTAGTATAATGTCAAGTTTTAACTTTGTTTGTGTTCTTAAATCCATTACAAGTGTACCCTCAGTTTGCTTCTGATACGATAAATAAATAAAATAAAACCACTTCAGAATCAGCTGTATCCTTCAAGGGATGACATACTGTACATTTAAAAATTAAATAACTTACAAGGATTCCCAGTCAAATCAATATGCCCAAATATGTGAAAAGTCTCTTTCCCATCTAATGGCAGCCATGTACCTGTATATTCAATTAATTTATGAGATTTTGATTGAACACCTCTATATTATTACCCAGAGACTTATTTTATGCTTTATAACAAAGTGCAGTTTTAGATAAGATCTCTACAGTTCAGACATTATAGTCCAACTCTGTACAGCAAGTATTTGTCTTTTTAATGCAGTTAACAAATTCAGTAATGTTTTTATACGTATCTACTACTCATCTTGTTAAATCCAAATCTCTAGAAACTTTAATTAATACTCACAACTCTGATGATAATAATATCATGATTCTTTTCAGAAGAGTAAGATATTGGCAGATCAGTTAAGTACCCAATTGAGCATGAGTTGGGAGAAATTGGTTTAGCAGCCTCAAATCAATGGAAATGTTTCAGTTTAATAAAAAGTGAATGGAAGTGGGAGTTCTGTTTTCCTTAGAACATATTTTATTGCACTCTTTGCAATTAGAGTACTCAGCCAAGGTCTCAGAGAGGAAGAAAAGCTAAAATGGTCTCAGAATAATAGAATTATAAAACCATAGAATAATAGAGTTGGAAGAGACTATGTGGGCCATCTAGTCTAACCCCCTGCCATGGAGGAAAAGCACAATCAAAGTACCCCTGACAGATGGCCCTCCAGCCTCTGATTAAAAGCTTCCAAGGAAGAATAAAAATTAAGATTAAAAGTTAAATTTCAGCAGTTTTTTTTAAAAAAAATACTTCATTGGAAAACCAAAACAACTATGATGGATTCAATTAAATACATTTATTCTGAAAAACTCAGAAAAATATTTTTACGTTTAATACCTGTAATAGTGAGATAGGATGAGTACTCTTCCAATATCCTTCCTTCATGCATACATCTAACTCATGGATGTGGTAGCCAAACAATTATCATGTGGTCTTGCTTCCTGGACCATTGTGTGATCACTGTGATGTTTCAAATGGGAGCTCATCCAAAGAGATTCTCCACCAAATCAGAATCCTAGTCCGTCGAGACTTCCAATCAGGCAGAAAGCCTAAATGTATGTTACTGAACTTGTCTAAACTCATCTTTCAAATGCTGAACTGAATTGTTGGTGATTGGGATGGGGCTTGTAGATCATATAACACAATAACATAGAATCATGGAGTTGGAAGAGACATCAAGGGCCATTCCTGCTATGCAGGAATACACGCCTGAAGCATTCCCAAAGAATGGCCATTCATCCTCTGTTTGAATAACTCAATGGAAGGATACGCACTGAGGCAGCATATTCCACTGCCGAATAGCTCTTAGTGGCAGGAAGTTCTTCCTAATGTTTACATGGAACCAGTTTTACCATAGATATGGGAGTCATACTGTATACTCAACTATAGTGTTATACAATCCTGGGCTTATTTAAGAACACACAGCAAAAAAAAAAAAGAAAAAAAAAGGGGGGGGGGACAAGCCCCTAGCAACTATTAGAGCAACATATATCTAAACTGATCACTTAAATCAGTTTCAAACTGGTATGGGAGAAAGTGATTTAGCTGTGCAGATGGTTACATAGGAAATTTCCGTACCAGTTTGAGGCCCAGATGGTGATGACACAAACCAAAGAGCACTGATATGATTTAAGGACTTCCTTTTGTGTGCTTTTGTGGGTGTTGGTTGTCTAATCACCACAGTCTGAAGCTAGCTTCAAAGTGCATTAAATGGCCAGTGTAGGTGGCGCCACAGTTACCAAAATCCTAGTGCAAAATTCTATTCCATGCATAAATTACAATAATCTCATAAACATTGGTTGATGATGCATGTATTGTCGAAGGCTTTCATGGCCGGAATCACTGGGTTGTTGTAGGTTTTTCCGGGCCATATGGCCATGTTCTGGAGGCAATTTTTCTCCTGACGTTTCGCCTGCATCTATGGCAAGCATCCTCAGAGGTAGTGAGCTCTGTTGGAAGTAGGAAAAATGGGTTTATATATCTGTGGAATGTCCAGGGTGAGACAAAGGACAAAGCCCCAGCAGAAAAAAGTCCTTTGTCTTGCCCTGGTCATTCCACAGCTATATAAACCCATTTTTCCTACTTCCAACAGACCTCACTACCTCTGAGGATGCTTGCCATAGATGCAGGCGAAACGTCAGGAGAAAAATTGCCTCCAGAACATGGCCATATAACCCGGAAAAACCTACAACAATCCGATGATGCATGTGTTTGACATAACCTTAATCAAACAGCACCTGCTAAACCAGCAATGGGCAACATGTGGCTTTGCAAATGTTGAGATATATATCCATTGGCCTTCTGTCTATAGCTGATGGGATCTGAAATCTATTACACCTTTGCAGCTTTATGTCGTGTGGGCATTTATAGGGGCATTACACACTTTACAGTTGAAAATAACTGTTCCGTCTCCCAGGAGACTGGGTTTATTGCCTTTTTTGGTTGCTTGATTCGGCTGCCTTTGCCTTTCTTTTAGAAGCTGCTGCAGCTTTGCAAGTCCTGGAGTTGCAGCCAAAGGCGGGAAAAAGGGGAACCAGCCTGCAAACTCTTTGCAGTGATTGGCCTAGGGAGCAACTCTTAGAGCCCGCCCTTCTTCCTGGGGAGAGTTTTCCTTCTTAGAATCTCCCTACCCTGTTCAGTTCCAAAGAAGCCTTTTGGATGTGCTGAGGGCCAAATAGGGCAGCCCAGAAAAAACCACCTCAAAAACTATTGAGAATTAAGATAAGTACAATTGAGATAGTATAGTTGGGTAAGCTAGATTGACAGCAATTGAGTATTGAGATAAGTTTGGTTGAGAACTATTGAATGGAGAAGTATTGAGTTAAGTATAGTGAGATAAGTTTAATTGACTATTGAGAGAACAATTGTATTGAGTATTGAGAACAACTATTGAGAACAACTATTGAAATAAATATCCCCTTTGATGTTTAGACCTTGCAGTGGACTCCATTGTTGATTATCTCAATTTTCTCCAGAAAGCCCCAGTTGTTCGCCCAGACATAGGGACAGCACATCATAGTTTGCCATAGATGCAGGCGAAACGTCAGGAGAAAGATTGCCTCCAGAACATGGCCATATAGCCCGGAAAAACCTACAACAACCCAATAAAATTAATCCTCCAGACAGAACTAGGATGTGTGATGGAAACATAGTATTCAAAATATCAGTATCATCTTTGGAAATCTTTCTTTTTGCATCTACCATATCTGATCAAACTGCAAGAAAGAAGATTCCATCTGAACATGAAGAAGAACTTCCTGACTGTGAGAGCCGTTCAGCAGTGGAACTCTCTGTCCCGGAGTGTGGTGGAGTCTCCTTCTTTGGAAGCTTTTAAACAGAGGCTGGATGGCCATCGGTCAGGAGTGATTTGAATGCAATATTCCTGCTTCTTGGCAGGGGGTTGGACTGGATGGCCCATGAGGTCTCTTCCAACTCTATGATTCTATGATCATTTGTAAAGTTAATCATTTGTCAGTCCTTGCCACTAGGTGTCACTGGTCTACCCACCTATGGGGCTTGAAGGTTGGCTCTTATTTTCCCTCTAAGTAAGCAAACTTGTGCAATTAAACATATTGAACAGTTTCTCATTCTGATCAAAGTTTAAAAGAAGCAGCTGGACTTCAATTAATGTGACAGTGAAAACATGATATTGAGCTGAAGGGAACCATATCTCAGTTACTTCAGCTGTCTTTATCCAATTTCCTTCTCTACAAACTAGGTTGGAAAAAAAGTAAATTTAGCTCTCTGGCACAATAAGCTGTCCCTAGGCAACAGTCCCAGATCGCATGTTTAATACATTATTTGGAAGCAACACTGTCCATTAATTTAATTCGTTGCTACAGTTCAGTGCTGGTAAGTGTGATTTGGATTTTCAACTTCAGGTTCCAAATTCTGTCAAACACCTGCAAAACATGGACAAATGTCACTTTCGAGTTCTGGAAATATTCCATCAATATTGCCTTTGAAAAACTCTGTAAAGCTCTTGGGAAGACAAGCGGACAAAGGTCAGCATTCTGGAAGAAGCAAAGACCACCAGCATTGAAGCCATGATTCCCTGGACTGGCCACAGTGTTTGAATGTCTGATCACAGTCTCCCAAAGCAGTTCTTTTATTCTCAATTCAAGAATGGAAAATGGTATGTCATCAGACAACTAAACAGATTTAAAGATGGGCTTAAATCTAAACATGGAATAAACACAGAGAACTGGGAAGCATTGGCCTCCAAGCATTCTAACTGGAGGTGAGTTGTTATCAATTGTGCTATGGATTTTGAAGAAGCAGAAACACAAGGCAAAAGAAAGAAACATGCCAAGAAGAAGGTGAGTCAAGAAAAACCCTTGTCGGGGCCAGTTTCCATCTGAAAATATATGTCGTCAGTGTGAAAGACCATGGGATCCAGAATACAGTCACTTACAAACTCACTGCCATGACTCTACCTATCTAAGACAATCATACTTGGCCATGAATGATCTCCTATGATGTGCATGGGGTGTTCCAATATATTTTCCTGCTTTGTGAACTATTGAACTGTAAATGGTAGATTCCCAATTAAATATTACTAAGCCCTGGAACAAGTATGTCCACCCAGCATAGCTAATGGGGCCTCCAGGGCAAAAATACATTCTTAACTGGTTGAACTTTGCTTGAATAATATGGCCATCTTGAACTCTGGAGCACTACTTTAATATTTAGCTATTCTTTAGTCCTGCCCCCTGGGGAGCTTTCCAACTACATGGGCACATCTACACTGACCATTTAATGCATTTGCTGTGCAGATGATTATATAGGAAATCTTGGAATCAGTTTGAAAAACGGGTGGTGGCATTGATACATACTAAGGACATTTTTAATGCGCTTTTGTGGGAGTTTGTTGTCTAGCCACATTAAATGGTCAGTTAGATGAGGGGCATAATCTATTATTCTGCTTTGAATGCCATAGTTCCATTCACAGCTTACTGGATTTGCGGTTTAGGGTGGGAAATGTAGAATTCTCAGCTGGGGAACTTAGGGCCTCACCAAACTAAAAATTCCAGAAACTCATAGAATGGAACCATGGCAATTGAAGTGAAATCATAGTGATGTAATTGTGCATTATGTAGTGGCATCTGATTTGTACCCCACATCCAGATCGTGCTTAGTCTGTTTCACAGTTGGGTGGAAATGTAGTTCCTGGCTCACCACAGATTATTACCAGCTATGGTGTAAGGAAATAGCAGGAACAACCTGCCGGTCCTGCCTTAGCAGCCACATGTTCATTGTTAGTGCAAAAGTGGTATGGAAAGGCCTGGTCCACATAAGTGTGTTTTCTATAAATAATGAATGCTACTGGATGGCGTAGAAAGCATCTTTGAATATTGTTTGTATGAATATAACAGAGTTTGATTACTATGTGGAACAATTTCACCACAATCTAAATTTGCTGACACCAATGAGTTGAAGTTT